AGGGGGGGGATTTCAAGACTTCCCACTTCATTGGTTTGGTTTGTTCAACTGTGGAAAAGAACAAGCCAAAGGCCAGTAAAGGAAGACATACAGGTGAAGAAATGGAAATGGATTAGGCACACCCTTAGGAGACCCCCGACAAGCATCATCAGACAGGCTTTGACGTGGAATCCTCAAGGAAAATGACCTGGAGGCGAGCGGTACAAGCGGAAATGAAAAAGGCGGGGATATCAGGGAAACGGCTAGAAAAGGATGTTCAGGACAGGCTTCGCTTGAGAAATATTGTTGATGGCTTATGCTCCACTAGGGGTTGAAAAGGGCAAGAGAGAGAGGTTTGGTTTTATTAGAGATGGACGTTTGATTTAGAGTAGCCCTGTTTTAAACAACCTCGAAATGTTGAAATGGGTTTTAACACATGCAGATGCACAGTTTTTTTGCCTTGACCTGATTTCTTTTTTTCTTTTTAATTATTTCCAGGGACAGAGTCGTGGTTCTTTTCCCTGGATGTTGGGAAGAAGTTCAAGTCTGGGAAAAAGAAGGCGTATCCGTGTGACGGTTCTTCCATCTGTTACTTCGGACAGGAGCTTGGGAATGTCCAGTTTTATTGGATTCTCAATGCTGGTCACATGGTAAGATATTGTCCCATCCATCTTAAACAATAATGATGATGATAATAATAAAGATAATATGATAATAATAATAATAATAATATAATGATAAATAATATAATAATAAAAATATAATAATAAAAATAAAGACCATTCCTATAGCACCCACTCCCTGATGCTGCTGGGGTGTTCAACAATTCTTTCAAATATACATACAAATACACCCATAACCTGACAAAGAACACATAAACAAAAAAGACATTCACTGTGGCTACTGATCACACTTGTTGTTGGAACAAGAGTCAAGCAATATGATAAAATAAGATTTAAATAAATGAGTTTTTAGATCAGATTTTAATGCGGTTAACCCTATCTGTACATCGTGTTTTACTATCGTGTCCATACTATTTGGGGAACTCTGTGCCACAACTTTTCAAAGAGGAAATTTACTTGTTAATCCGATCCGTACGCTTTGCTTAGCAGCCTGTCAAAATGATTTTTTGAGAAATACTGAAAGTTTCAAAGAGATCTTCGCTCTAGAAGTATTCTAAAATGTGAAGAAGACAACCCCTGGGGTACAAAATGACCCCAGGCGTACAGACAGGGTTAAATAAATGAGTTTTTAGATCAGATTTATATGCAGTTATAGTAGGTGTCTCTCTCTAATGCAAATCTAGTGTGGAACCTGGAGAAAAATCACAGAGAATGATGTACAGAAAATGGAATGACGTGGAATTATGGCCAAGAAGTTAGCCTAAAATAAGAAAAAAAATTAAGAAAGTGTTTGTTATTGGTCCATACCCTGATCCAGGGTGAGAAGGGCAATGATGGTGATGATCTTGCGTGTCGTCTAGTGGGTGGTTGGTGGGTGCTCTGGTGTGGTTTGCTTCTTCTTTCCTATCAAACATCTATTGTCCTTATCTCCCCTCCTTCTTTTTTTGTGTTTATTACTCTCTTGTAACACCTCTATTCTTCGGCTCTTATATGACCTTATGCAGTCGCGAGCGCCGCAAAACACAGAGTTCTCTGAGCTCACAGTTCTTTAAAAATTTCTGTGTTTTTAAACCATGATGTGTTAGTTGTCCATGATGGTAGATATAATAATGCAATGTAGCCAAGTCTGAGATTAAAAGAAAAAAACGTCTGATCGTAGAACATTAAGTTTATAATTATTGATAAATTCAAGGCTACTTTTTAAAAATTGATTTCTTTTTTTTTTTTTTACATCTCAAACTTCATATCTAGTTCATTTGTATTTTCTTTGTATAATGACTTTAAACCGACTAGATCTAACACAAAGATATATTTATGGCATCAGAATGTTGGTAAGAAGGTAGTCAAGGTAGAATATATAACTACAGAGATATTTTCTCTATCAAAGTCTTTGGCCTGGCATTTTTTCTTTCAGTTTGTTGTTATGTAATCATTTAATGGGGTTTTTAAAATGCTCTCTCTTTCTTGTAGGTGCCACAGGATAACGGACCTGGTGCTCTAGCTATGGTCAACAAAGTGATTGAGTAGACGGTTCTGAGCAAGGTGGACATTCGACTGCTTGGGCCATATTTTTGTATAAGCTTTTTTCTACGGTAATCTCATGGTTTGCAAAATATTTTGCTGTAAACTCAGGTCTCCACTGCTGACTTAAAGCTTTTGACTTAGGTCTGAAAGGTTCAGAAATAGATCTGTGTATTTGGTAACGTGTTTTTTGTACAGACTAGCATGCACATAGCGAAATATGCATAGCAAAGAGATTTTAAAGTTCGGAATTAAAAGTTGTACTTGTGTGTTCTTTACATTTATTTGAATAACTTAGCCAAATTCATACGTAACGATAAGATTTCTGAGTCCTACTTATTCCACTATGTGCACTCTAGACTGTATATTGTGTGTGTATTAAGATACCATGAACCCGGTCTAAAGCTTGTTCTTTACATTTCCACAGACTTATTGTCTTACAAGTTTCTGCACATTTTAAAAGAATTGCATTCAGTTCAGAGAAGCTATTTTTTTACACAGATGTTACAAATAGATTTACTATTTCAGCAATAGACCCATATAAATTCATTGTTTCTGGCTGTCTGTTGGCCATGAAGGTCCAAGTATTTGGATGGCCTCGGGCACTGACGATCTACTAACTAGTCTGGAGACAAAACTTCTTACGTGATCAAAATGTCTATATTTTCTGTCCCCGTCGTTTTATGCAAGAAAAATTCTGAAATTATGCAAATTGAGCCCAAAAATGTGACATTATGCGATTATTTAAATTTTATCAAAGAATGATAAAGGAAAATAATAAGAAATTATGCAAAAAATGATCAAATTTTGCTAAATTATGCGGGGTGCATAAAACCACAGGGACAGTATTTTGCCGACAGTGTCGAGAAAAACAGATTTTCTCGACACTGCTACTGTTAGCAAGATATAGATACTTTGATAGCATGACTGTTTGGCATACTTCTAATATTGATCTGAAAGCTTAGTGGGATATAAACAGACATGTTGTGAAACGATGTTAATTTGCTGTTTTTGACTCCTACAAGTCTGACATGTCTACTGACTAGATGCTGCAGTACTTTTTCCCTTCTTGTTTTCCTCATTTATCACACTTGCCTGTATCTGCTTGCCTGTTGGACTTACTATAACTACATCCAGATACTTTAAATTTTCATTAAAAAAAAATTTGGTTGGTGATACAAGTTTGTAGCATGAAATCTGTCTTTTTTTACGATGAAAATGGTAACCTATGCTTATTTTCATTGAAACTTGCGGCATCAAAACAGGAAGTAGGCCAAGGACTTTTGTAAGAGTTAAGGCGTAAAAGTGTCAAGAGGGAAATTTGGAGTTTGATGGTTTGTGCCCGAAGCTTTCGATTTGATTCTTCTTCTACCCCGTTCAGTTCTGTATTGATTTTTATACTCAAGGTTCAAGATTTTGTTTATATCTTTTTCCTGTATTGCGTGCCAACCTTCACGTAGATGTAAAACTGAGATCACTATCTCATACTACAATGTTTTTACTTTCTTTGTTTTCTACTCACTTATATTATATGCAAGTCATGTCGGTCTAGATGTGATTGGCTGTCCAGTAGATGTTATTTTATTTAGCTCTAGGAGATCTAGATCTTAAATGTGAATTTTCAGTTTGGTAAAAGCCAGTAGTATTGTTTCATTACTTTTGTCTGTTGTTTAAGTTTTGAGTGTTTTTTTAAAATGTGCCATTGGAGGGCTGGTTTAAAGATATATTATTATATTGGTGGGTGTTTTTTAAAAATAAGGATGCAAATTTTCTATTTAGTTTCACTGTAGGACCTACTTAACTTAGTGACAGTTGAATTAAAGAATGTAATACGTTATTTCATTGCGGAGAGCACTAATTGATACTTGAAATGCCATACTGTTTGTGTGTGTGCCTCTACTGTTGTCAGTGTACACATATTGAGAGTGAATCCTATGAATATGATATAAGTGCCTTTACAAGGGGTATGTTTGGAAGTGTAAACCACTTTAAGAGTTAATTAAAGTGTGGGTGGTTGGCGGGTGCTGTGGTGTGGTTTGCTTGTTCTTCCCTATGTGAAACATCTATCGTCCTTATCTCCCCTTCTTCTTTGTTATGTTTGTTATACTCTCTTGTAACACCTCTAATCTTCTGGCGCTCATATGACCTTATGCAGTTGCGAGCGCCGTAAAACCCTCTACTAGAACTAAACTAAACTTTAAGCAGTTCCTGTGGATACGTGCCTGTGTGTGGTTTATGTTTATGTTATATGTGTCATGATTTATTAAAAAAGTGTTCCAAAAACAAAATAGTCCAAGTTGTTTTTGTCCTTTTTCGTTTTCAAAAACTCTGACCAATAATAATTTGTTTCATTCCTGTTGGGGATGGAGGTTTAATTCGAACTGGAAAGTACTGCCACTTAAAGTTAAATTTCGAGGTACAGCTGCTGAAAGTTGTTAAATACCAAGATACTGTTGCCTTGTAGGCTTACATAGTGTGAAATTATGGAGTATTGCCACTGAAAGTTCAATTCCAAAGTCAAATTCTGGAGTACCACCAATTAAAGTTAAATTTGGAGGTTAAATTCTGAAGTATCACCAGTTAAAGTTAAATTCTGAAGTACTGCCTATTAAAGTTAATTTCGGAGTAATGATATTCTTAGTCTTAGTACTTTAACTTAGTGCCACATCCACTCTGTGAGGGATTGGAGGGTGCTCTGGTGTGGTTTGCTCCTTCTTTCCTATCAAACGTCTGTCGTCTTTATCTCTCCTCCTTTTTTGTGTTTGTTACTCCATTGTAACACCTCTAATCCTCGGCACTTATATAATGACCTTATTGTGTTGTAAGTGCTGTCAAACTCTAATGAAACCCC